GCTTTATGCATCAGGATAGAGACTCAGAGAGGCCATGTAGCTTGGTCAAGATCACACACCTTACTAACCAGCAGAGATGGAATTTTTAATTCATCTTTCTGGATCCAAAGTCCTTGCAGTTTTGTGCAGCTACTACTCTAGAATCCATGTAGAAGCTGTACTCCCGTTATACCCTCCAAATCAAAAGGCTGTAACAGCTGTATGATGCACACAAAAAATCAGAAGTAATCAGGCATCATTCTAAACAATTTAGTGGTTGTATCAGACAAGATGGTTTTGTCTTGAGGGTAGCGCTCATTCTCTCTAATCTAATACCCAAATCTAGACATTAAAAGTTAAGTTAAATCAGATCAAATTAAAAACAACAATGAAACACAACAATCTAAAGACTTCTCTTTTTTTAACTTAAGAAAATAATTTTAGATGCATAATAAAGTTGTGTAATGAAAGTGCAATTATCAAAATAAGAAACCAATATTGGCAACATAACATTAATTAAACCCACAATCTGGCTGGGCATGGTGGCTTACACCTGCAATCCCAGGACTTTGGAAGACCAAGGTAGGAGGATTACTTGAGGCCAGGAGTTTGAGACTAGCCTAGGCAACATAGCAAGACCCCATCTCTACAAAAAATTTTTTAAAAATTAATCAAGCATGGTAGCACGTGCCTGTACTCCCAGCTAGTCTAGAGGTTGAGATGGAAGGATCACCTGAACCCAGAAGGCTGAGGCTGTGGGAAGCCAAGATTATACCACTGTACTCCAGCCTGGGTGACAGAGTGAGACCCTGACTCAAACAAAACCTCAAAATATTAATTAAACTACAATCTAGAATTCACCACTTTTCCTACCACTATTATACTCTTCTTTGTTCCAGAATCCAATTCGGGATCCCAAATTGTCTTTAGTTGATGTCTCTCCAATCCGTGACAGTTCCCCAGTCTTTCCTTGTCTTTCGTGACCTCGACATTTTTGAAGAATATTGGCAAGTTATTTTGAAAAGAATGTCGGTCACTTTGAGGTGTCTGATGTTGTCTCAAGATTTGATTGAGGCTTTGCATTACTGGGAGGAATTCCACAGAGTTGATGTGCATCATATCAGGAGGTGCAGGATGTTGATACGTCTGTTTACTGATGATGCTAATCTTGGTCTCGGCTAAAGTAGTATCTGCCAGTTTTCTCCACTATAAAGTTATTATTTTTCCCTTTGTAATTGAAAAATATCTTGGAAGGGAGGAAAAGACTTTGAGACTATGCAAATATCCTGTTTCTCCTCAAACTCTTGCCCACTAATTTTGGCATTCATTGATAGCTCTCGCCCGCAACAATCATCTCTGTGTTGTACTAACGGTGGTTTTCTATTTCTCTCATTCTTTCCACGTTTATAAATTGGAATTCTTCTGTGAAGAAAAGCTGCCTCATCTCCTCCTTTTTAAAATTCAATTAATTATTTACATCACCATGGACTTGTGGATATTTATTTTATTCTACGGGTTATAATCTGATACTATTGTTTATTTTTGTCACTCCAACTGTTCCTATTTAGCCAGTGGCAGTTCTTGCTAACATCCTATCTTTTTGGCTTTTTGTCCTTCCTAACGCCCTACCTTTTCGTCTGTGTGTCCTTCCTGACGCCTTATCCTTTTGGCTGTTTATTCTTCCTAATGCCCTATCCTTTTGGCTTTTTGTCTTTCCTAATACTCTATCCTTTCAGCTGTGTGTCCATCCTAACGCCCTATCTTTTCGGCTGTGTATCCTTCCTAATACCCTATCTGTTTGTTTTTTGAGCACTCCCTTACTTTCTGACACTACAAGACACTCCAGGCTCATCTTGTGATTTCTCTATCCCAGGCCTAGAATCAGCCATTTCCACAAGGAGCCCTTGTTTCTTTTATGGGAGACTGGTATGTAGAAACCCAGAACTGGGCTCCCTCATTGCTACCGTGGTGTCATTGCTCCTAGACTCTCTCAGTGGACGGAACATGGAAATACATGTATGCATACCAGCCCATGCATACACACACACATCTATATTTTACTTATGGTATGTTGAAAACCTTGAGTTCATGCTGATATCTCTGATTCTAATTCTAAAGACTTCTTTTAATAGTTTACCCAGCATTTCCCCAAAGAAAGCATAAAGAGGATTAAAAAAGGCTTATGCATATAAATAGTTTCCAGCTATTTGTGTAGGCCAGGGGTCAGCAAACTGGAACATAGTCACATCTAATAATGTAGGTATTGTCCATGGCCATTTTCCACTAGAGCAGCAGAGAGTGAAAGTAATTACATCAGAGAGTGGATGAGCCAGAAAACTGTAAATATTTTTTTTCTTTTTCTTTTTTTTTGAGTTGGAGTCTCACTCCATCGCCCAGGCTGGAGTGCAGTGGCACACTCATGGCCACCCCAGTGTCCACCTGCTGGTCTCTGGTGACCCTTCCACCTCAGCCTTCCAAGTAGCCGGAACTACAGGCGCACGCTACCATGACAAGCTAATTTTTTATTTATTGTAGAGATGAGGTCTCACCAAGTTGCCTGGGCTGGTCTCAAACCCATAGGCTTGGGCAATCCACTCTCCTCGGTCTCCCAAAGTGCTGGGATTACAAACTGAGTCACCGAGGCCAGCCTGGAAATATTTTCTATCTGGCTCTTTACAGAAAAGGTTCAGAATATGTTTTAAACGTTCACGTGGGAGATGGAATAGAAGGTTCAAATCCCATGCTGCCCCTGACTAGTACTAGCCATGTGGCCTTAGGTAAGCCACTGACTCTCTATGCCTCAGTTTCTTCTTTCCTTGCAGGTTTCTTGGCAAGACTCAAGACTTTCATGAGTAAAATTCCTGGCACTTGATAGATGCCCAAATAACTGTAGCTAGTATTACTTGTGCAAGTTGTTTATAATTGAGAGTAAAATTTTGCCCCAAAATAATCTGCTTTCAGTGGAGGTTATGGGACTAATACAGTCCACAGAGTGCATTTGGCCCACAGGGACTTGAACCATAATCCTAAATACTCACTCCACCATGCACTAACTATGGGATCTTGGGCAACTAACAACTTATTCAGGCCTGCTTCCCTCTCCATACAAGTGCAGTTTCTTCACAGGCCACAAGAAGTTATAACTATGAATACCTTTACGTCATGATCCCCAGACCAAAATTGGACTGGCCACATCAAAATTAGAATGAAGAATAGGTTAAAATACGCATTCCCAGCCCTGGCTCCAGGGATTCTTATTTAGAAGGACTGGAATAGGATTCACACTAGACATTTTCAGCAAACGCCTAAGATGGTTTTGTTGCCATCCTTCCTGGAGAGCATGTCAGCCCCACACTGTCCCGCTACCTTCCTCTCACTCACGTAAATACTCAGGCCATTCAAAGATGACTGCAAAAATAAAAAATTAATAATAAAGAAAAAAGATGACTGCAAGTGCTACAGAAACCCAAAATCTCCTTCCTCTGAGCTATTTCACTACAACCTCTCATATGAGCTTGGGTCTCCTAGGACTCCAAGAGCTAAGCAAGATTCTCTGTGTTTCAGAAGAAAATCTATTTCTATTGCTTAAGCATCCTCCTTCTTTACAAAAAAATGCATTCTGTGAGCCTCTCCTCATGGTATTGGGTTAGAGAAGACTAAAGTGAGAGATGGGTAGGGCTGTGGAGAAGAAGACCAGGGCCACAGGGGAGGAGGAGAACAAATTTAAAAGGGCACAGGGTATAGCATTGGTAGTATAACACCTTCCAAAGAAAGCAGAGGAGTCCTATTCCCCCTCCTGAGCTACTCCCAGGTGACCCCTTCACACACTGCCCTGCTTGTAAGAAACAGACTAGAGTAGGTACAGAGCCTCCTAACCCATAGCTGGAGCCCTGCAGGGTCACCAAAATAGGAACCTCCAGGAGTTGGGGTGGAGGTTTCCAGGGGTCTTTTAGGTGTGAGGGACACAACATCACTGTGGGTGTGGTGCATATCATACCGAGGGAACGTGGGATACCAAAAAGGGTAGGTATGTCCAGGAGCAGAAATACAATGAGGGCTGTCAAGTTCAGGGTGCCCAAGGAGCAGGTTCTGAAGTAACTTAATCCTTCATCTGCCTGAGCTTTAAAAAATATTGATGTGCAATTCACATGACAAAAAATTAACCATTTTAAAGTATACATTTCAGGGGCATTGAGTACATTCATAACATGTTGCAACCACCATCTCTATGATTAAGTTGTAAACATTTTCATTCCCACAAAAGGAAATTCCTGTATCCACTAAGCAGCCACCACTCCCAATTCTCCTCCCTACCAATAGTTGTTGTTTTTTTTTTATAGTAAGGGGTGGGAGGATTTTCTCTATAATGAAGTTTTTTGGTGTGTGTTTTCATTTTGTTTTTGTTTTTGAGTCGAGGTCTCACTCTGTTGCCCAGGTTGGAATGCAGTGGCACGATTGTGCTCACTGTAGACTCAGCCTCCTGGTTTCAGGTGATTCTTCCACCTTGGCCTCCCAAGTAGCTGGGACTACAGGAATGCACCACCCTGCCCAGCTAGTTTTTGGTTTTGTTTTGTAGAAATGGGGTCTTGCTACTTTTGCCCAGGCTGGTCTTGAACTCCTGGGCTCAAGTGATCCTCCCATCTCAGCATACCAAAGTGCTGGGATTACAGGTGTGAGTCACCATGCATGGCCTATAATGAAATTTATGCAATCAATGTTTGAGGGGCTTTGGAAACACCCTGGGTTCAAAGGGCACAGAGACATTCTCTCTTCTAACCAGGTAGCCAGGTGGGAGCAACCTTCTGGAAAGGTCTAGAGTAACTTTTCCCTTCTGTCGCTTTACCCCATTCAGTGGGGACAGTGGCAGCCTCTTCCATTCACAGTTTTGTGTGGCCAGTAATCCATAAGAGTAAGGGCATCACCAGGGTTTGAGAGGAATCCCCCTACCCCCACCCCCCACCCAGCGCTCCACAGTCAGGGTTACTCCTCGAAAATATCTCTAAACAGAGGTCGCCTCATACCCTTTGCTTCTCTGGGTCCACATAGCGAATGCCAAAGTAGTCCTTCTCCAGCAAACTGTAGTAGTTGCAGATGTGGTCGATGAGAAACTGCCCTTTGGTCTCCCTCTGCAAAGGAAGCATATTTAAGTTCTAGTCAGAGCTCACCTTGTGTATCACGTCCACAGAGGACCGCATTCACCCCATGGATCTGTGCTTAGAAAAAAGAACCTACTCACTCAAGGACCTGAAGCAGGGGCTTCCAAATTCTCTTAACCACAAAACCTCAGTAAGAAATACATTTTACATTGTAAGCCATTACACACACACACACACACACACACACACACACACACAACCCAAAGAATGCCAAGAGGAGCTGAAGGGACACCCAACAATACTCTGCATAGATATGCTCTAATATGCTTATTTTATTCTAATACATGCCATTTAATTTTTTAATGTAGCCGGGCTCGGTGGCTCAGCCTGTAATCCCGCGCCTTTGGGAAGCTGAGGTGAGTGGATTGCCTGAGCCCACGGGTTCGAGACCCGCCTGGGCAGTGAGACCTCATCTCTACAATAAAAATTTAAAAAATCAGCCAGGCATGGTAGCGCACACCTGTAATTCCAGCTACTCGGAAGGCTGAGGCGGAAAGATCGCTGGAGCCTAGCAGGCGAGGCTGTGGTGGCCGGGAGCGGCCACTGCACTCCAGTCTGGGCGACCGAGTGAGACTCAACTCAAAAAAAAAAAATTTTTTTTAATGTTATTTATGACTCAGAACTCTGGTTTCCTAACTCAATACCCTGTGGAGGTCCACAGTTTGCAAACCCTCATATAACACATATACAATGCCCCTGACTGCTTGTTCTAATCACTTTGTATTCACAATGATCCTATGAGGAAAGTTCCCGTTTTATATCTGAGGAAACTGAGGCACAAAGGGGCTCAGTGTCTTGTCCAAAGTCACACAACTTATGTGGGGCAAAGCAGGATTTGAGAGAGGCCAATTGGCTGCAGAATCTGGGCTCCTACCAAGCCACCTTGTCTCCCTAGAGCAATTGTGAGTCCATGGGTACTCTGCCAGAAAGAGGGCCTGGTGGGTGTAGCTGTGCAGTGAATGGTATAAGAATATCCTGGCTCCCACCAGGGATGGAGGGGGACTTGCTTCCTTGGGCCCCAAAGCCACTGTATAACATCTACAAATCAACACAGAAAGACACTATGGGAAATTCAGGGGAGCCCAGCACTGGGACCCAAAGATAGGCCTGTGCGAACCTAGGTAAACCCCCAGCTTTTTCTACTTTGGTAAAATAAGATGGATGGATGAGATGAGTTCTAAGTTAGTTAGGTTATTTTTCCTTCTAAAATTCTATGAAAGACATATTAGCCAAATCTGATTAAGATAAATACCACACAGCAAAACCCTCTTAATAGCAAGACTCTTCCAAGCCCTCATCAGGATATCTGACAAGATTACTTTCTGCTTCAATCAGAGTTGCTGAAAGATCTATGAAATGTTGTAGGGATAGAATGTGACCTGTAAAAATAAATGGTGAAATTAGAGACATTAAGTGAGCCACATTTTCAATCCACTAATAATAATTTTGGAAGATCAGTTTGGTCTATGTTTCATGATGATCTTTTCATTAAAAACTACCACCATCAGCTCAGAAAGTTGGATGAAAAAATCACTCACTGGTCTGGAATGACCTGCACTGGACGAAGGATTGGGGCTTATAAGTATGCTATAAAGCCTCTATTTTCCCAAAATCACTTTTGAGTTTAATTTTGAATGAGCTGAGTTTTTAACTTCCTTTCTAAGAGAAACTATCTGATGTCACTCAAACGAGACAAAACATCAAAATGGAAAATTTGTTTTTAAGTTTCTGTAACTGCTTTTTAACACAAGAGGCTCACATGGCAAATGGTACCTGATGGCGGCTGAATTCAATGCCCCCAAAATAATGAATAGATGTAGTTCCTTTTATACATGTATTCTGTAATCCATTCATCTTTTAAAGGCTTCTGCACCATCAACTCACTAAACACAGTATGTGAGTTCAACAGCCTATGATGGCATGGCAAAACTCTCTTCACTAGGGTTTACTATAGAGAACAAACCCTTACTACGTGCAACAGACACAAGATATGTGGGTCAAGGCTGTGTACTATATTAATATGGGATTGAGCAGACCTTCATTGAGCATGACAGATACTGCTATCATTTTGCCCTAAAGAAGACGTACTCAACAGCACAACAAAGCTGTTTTTTTTAATGATTAGACACAGTGACTAGTATATACCCTCCAGCAATATCTCCCAAGACCCCTGAGGGATGAAAATGTCGCTGCAGACAAGTGGTGACAAGAGCATACAAGTGTGGCTGAAACAGGGCTCAATGCCTTCCAAAAAAACAGGTCAGGACAGTTCCCATGGTTTCAGGCCACCAGGTGGGTGTTAGGTCTTTGCTTCTCAAGGTACAGCCTGTAGACCAGCCACATGGCAGAGCAGCAGCCTCTGCACCGCCCGGCAGCCAGATTGTTGGAAACAGAATCTCAAGCACTGTCTGGACTTACCAAACCTAGTCAACATTTTGGCAAAATCCCCAGGTAATTCACATGCACATTAAAGTCTAAGAAACATTGGTTTCGGGGGGATTTCCCCAGGGGAAAAGTGCGAAATTGTACCTGTCTCCAGTGATCACTAGAAAAAAAAAAAGCCCAAAATATCTAAAATGTGACTTTCTATATAACCCTGCAATCCCTCTATTGGGAATATAGCTGGAAGAACTCAAATCACTCTATAAAAAAGATACCTGCACACATATGTTTATCATAGCATTGTTCACAGTAGCAAGAACATGGAACCAACTATGCTGCCCATCAAAAGAGAACTGAATTTTTAAAATGTGGTATATATGCACGATGGAATATTACACAGCCATAAAGAAGGACAAAATCATGAACTTCACAGCAACCTGGATGGACTTAGAGTGAGTGATGTATCACAGAAACAAAGAACTGAGTATCACATGTTCTCACTTATAAGTGGACCTTGAATAATTATCATAATACTATAAGAAAAGAATTGGTAGTAGTGGAACACTGCCAGAAGGGTAGGATTGGCCGTAGTGGGAATCTGCCAGGGGACAGGGGGCACACTTCATCAATAAGGGTACCTGCATAATGAACATTTGTGTACCTAACCCTGAATTATACCCCACATCTCTAAAATTAAAAAAAAATTTTTTTAAACCCGTTTTTCCTTGAGAATTGTCTATTCCTTAACTCAGAAAAATCAAAGTCCTTCCCTACCTAGAGTCCATCCCTGCTTTGTCAGAGGCCATTGCCCTTTGCAGCTCTGTTCCTGCATCTGCAGATGGCCCAGCCAACCACCCAAAGATGCTTCGTGTCTTGCTGCTTTGTGCCAAAGAAGTCAGCTTACTTACAGCCCACATTCTCCTGCCTGGACATCTGGACAGCGTTCATAAGCCAATTAAGTTCCTATTATTCTCATTTCTATCCCCTGAACCCAGTTCTTGATCTAAACATAAGCTCCCACAGGCCCAGGACCAAGGGTTGGAAAAGCTCGTTCAGGGGTCAGGAGCAACAGGGCAGAAGTCCAGCTGCCTGCCCACACATGTCACTTCAGGAGAGGGGTTTGGAGGTGAACCGTGTTTCTTACCCAAACCTGCCACACGCTTCCTCCTGAGCCTCCTGAAGGCAGAGACATCTTCCCTGCTGCCTAAACCACACTAGATGTTACTGAATGAAAAAAGAAGGCATCACTCTTCTCTCACAGAAAACCTAGCGTCTGGGAACAAAATGAGGCACTTCCCACAAACCCTTTGCACAGTCCTAACAGTGGGCCTCTGGCAGGGCGGGACTGTAGAGTCCTCGTACTGGCGAATCCTCAAATGTAATGGGATTGGCCAACTTCCATGCATCTTGTTCTAGGTCTGTGTAGACAAGTAAAAGGACTTTTTCATGTCAAACTTTTCTTGAGTTTCCCACAGGATAGCAGCTGTACTTTCAGTACTAATTAAGGGGGAAAGGGGTGGATCAAACAGCTTATATAAATTCTTTAGGACTGTTACCTAAATTGAGTTTTATTTATCCAACAGCATTTTATACATTTGAAAAATAGTAGGCAATACATGTGTGGGCAGGGTTTCATACAAGAGTCGGCAGGACTTGATAAACCGTGCCTAAAATCCTTAAGCACTTAGGAATAGAATTTTGATGCTGTTTCTAAACAAGGTGACATTGTCTTGGAAATGCACTGACAAGGCTGAAAAACTGTGGGACTTACAACTTAGCCCATTCAGCAGCCTTCAGAGCAGAAGGGGCTACAGGCCTCAGAACAAAAACCATCTTATTACAAACAGCCACAATAGTATAACTTCCATTTATTGAACATCTACTATGTGTCCAACAAGATGTTTTACAAACATTGAAGAAATCTACATACGTAAACTTGTTTCTCGATACTGGACCTTATCATCTATAATGGACTGTGGATTGATATTTTTCATAAATACCGTACTAAAATAATGTGACTACAATTGCGATTTTTTTTAACATGTTAAAAAAAACCTGTAAACCAGTGCTAGTCAAGATGTGGTCCATGGACTATGCAACAGTTTGTTACCGGTCTGCTGTGAGACGAGTGCAGAGATTAAGAGTAAATTATTTTTATTGTGTTTTCTTCAAGTACCGGTCCAAAACACAGTGGGGGGATAAAATCTAGTACCGGTCTCTCACCACAGAGAGTTTGAGACTCTCTGATCCAAACTGTGCTACCAGGTTTGGGGTTTCTCTTGTCTTTATTCCAAGAGCTCAAAGTGTGAAAGGGCTTGGGGTCCTCCCTCTTACCTTCTCTGCACATTCTTTAGACACTTATTGTTGTGCACGTGGATCCCTGAACTTCCTGCAATAATCGTACATTTCCTCAGGGTCCTCTCCCATAGGTTAGAAAGCAGTAGTACAGGGAATGGCAGGGCACCTGGAAAATTCTGGGAATTTCAAAAGGCAAATTCTCCTCAGTGGGCTAAAGACTCATTCGTGTGGCCAACCAGGCTCCATTTCAAAAGCCTTTGTATAAAATAACTACGTGTCTGATTAGGGAA